CGTGGGGCCGCGTCCACACCCACAGGACCCGCTGCGGAGGCTTCGGGAGGACGTGGGTCTGCGTCCACACCCACAGGACCTGCTGCGGAGGCTTCGGGGGTCCGTGGGGCCGCGTCCACACCCACACGACCCGCTGCGGAGGCTTGTAGAGGACATGGCCGCGTCCACACGGACAGGAGCCCGGCCCCCTCAGGCCCCGCCGTGGGAGGAGCAGGTGAGGAGAAGCCGTCTGTGCGGGGACTGCTGGGGGGTCCGTGCTCAGGACCCAGCGGAGGAAGGGCGGGGGCACAGCCCGGGGGGTTCCCGGGGCTCCGTGTGCGGTGCCGCGCGCGGGGCCGTCGGGGCTCCCCTCTCTGGACTCGGACCCGCTCCGGCGGCCCCCGCGGCTGTGTTCACGCGCACCCGGCTTTGGTTCCTGGGCCCCTGTGGCGGTCTGCGGTCCGGGAGCGGCCCCCCGCCGCTGTGTCCGCGCTCCCGCCGCCTCCGCCCCACCGGGTCCGTCCCGCGTCCACACCCGCTTCAGGACTGTCGGGTCGGGGTCTGCGAAGCCCGCGCGGGAAGGTGGGTAGTGAGCGCATCGACTCTGCGGACGGCTTTGGGGACAGTAGGTGCTTTCACGGTGTCCGCTCTTCCCTGAGCGCGGTGTCTGCCTGTCTCCATGTGTCTCCCTCGATGGCTGTCGTCAGTGTCCACGGGGGTCAGAGAACAGGTCTGTCACCTCCTTGGTGAAATTTCTTCCCAGGGATAGTGTTCTTTTTGATGCAGGTGTAAATGACATTGTTGTCCGTATTTCTCTTTCTGATAGTGTGTTATGAATGCACATAGAAATGCAATTGATTTTTGTATATTGGCATTGTTTCTTGCAAAGTTATCGAATTTGTTCCTTCTGTTAATCTTAACCTAAAACTGCCGGTTATTTTACCAGCAAAATGGGTTTATTTGGGAATAGCAGAGGCTTGCCATCCGGGACAAGCAGCTACGGCCACATCGCAGACAAGTGCAAGAAAGAAAGGGAGGAACAGTATTTCGTGGAGAAGGAGGAGGAAGTTGGGAGGGTTGTTCTGAAGGAAAGTCCGCTGGAGAGAAGCAGGGTTCGGGGTGATGGAGGTTCTCGCCCGCTGAGCTGCAGGGAGGGTAGATTTCTTAGAGGAGATGAAACCTACATCTTCCCCTTTGGGGCCTGTGACTGATGAGTCTGTCCTGTGGAGGCTTCTAATGTTGGCTCTGGAACCGACAGTTGTTCCTGGAACGGACCCTGAGTGGCAGGCTCCCCCCTCCAACCTCCCCTGCTGGCGTCCCCAGTCCCCTTTCCTGAGGATTCCCTTCACGCACTTTCACAGTTCTAACCAGGTTTTGGTGGGTTGCTGTGGAAAATTGGCATTCCAGATCCTACTGCTGCTATTGCGCCCAAGACACAGGGGCCACTGACTTAATCCTCCCACGAGTCTCTTGCTACCATGTGGCCTCCTTCAAGGGTGAGTGGCCTCTCCACGGTGGGTGAACTGGATCTGGGAGGGCGCGGCCTCCATCCTGAAGTTTGATGTCGTCTCTGCTTCTGTGACCTGGTGCTGACGTGGTTGTTTGGAAGAGTAATGGACTCTGGAGAGATTTCCAAGTGTGGGAAACCTGTCACCGCCGCGCAAATACGCTTTATCTCCACACTCAGACCCCGGCGGTCGTCTCCTTAGCACATTTACCACTTCACATGGGGGGCCTCGGTGTGTTTTACCCCAAACACGGACACTCTCCTGCAGAAGCACCACAGAACCCTAAGTGAGGAAATCATCCCGGTTTCCACATTATAACCCAGACCACAGACCCACTTCAACTGCCGCCACCTGCCCCACAGTCTGAAATGTCCTTTTCCATTCGGATCCAGTTTTCTTTTTCTGGAGCTGCTCCGGAGACTTTCCGTTATTTGCACAACCCTGATGGATTTAAGGATTTAAGGATGGATTTAGAGCCATTTACAGATGGCTCTAGCCTGAGTGGTATTTTCTGTCTGGCTTCTATCACTTGGGCTGTTTTCAGTGTCCAACCACGTGGTGACATGCATCAGTCCCTCATTCATTTTTTCACAGTGACTAAACATAAATAATATTTACCACCTAAAACGTTTTAGGTACACAAATCTCTGGCCTTAGCTGAGTTCCCACGGTTGTACCTCATTCTGCAGAACTTTTTCATTCTCCCCGGGGGAGACTCTGCATTAAACACCCAACTCCCCGTGATTTCTCTGGAGAAGGGTCTATCCAAGTCCTTCGTCCATTTTAAAAATTGGGTTGTCTTTTTGTTGAGGAGTTGTAAAAGCTCTTTACATATTCTGGACAACAGACTCTTACTAGATACATCATGTAAAGATATTTCCTTCCTTCTGGGGGCTGTCTTTTCACATTCAGGATGGTAACTTCTGATGTACCAAGATTTTTAATTTTTTCTAACATTTGTTTTCATAGCGAGGAAGAGAGAGTGTGCAAGCGGTCAGGGGCAGAGGGAGAGGGAGACTCCAGAAGGCCCTCCACTCAGCATGTAGCCTGACATGGGGCTTGATCTCATGACCCTGAGATCATGATCTGAACCGAAATGAAGTGTCTGATGCTTAACTTACTAAGCCACCCAGGCGCCCCGAAAATATTTTTAATTTTGAGGATATGATTTTATCTATTTTTTCTTTCTTTGCTTATGCTTTGGTGTCAGATCTAAAAGCATTGCTAAATTCATGGTTATGAAGATTTAGCCCCATTTATTTCTTGTAGGGTTTATAATTTTACCCCTTCCATTTAAGCTTGTACTTATTTTGAGCTAATGTTTCCATGTGGTATGAGGTAAGGATCCAGTTTCCTTCCTCTGCACATGGATAACCAATTGTCCCCCAATGTAATGTTGTCCACCCTTGTCAAAATTCAGTGGACAGTAGATGAAGGGGTTTATTTCTGGGCTCTCAGTTCAATCCCACTGATCTGTATGCACCTTCTTTTAAAAAAATTATTTTATTTATTTAAAAAATTTTTTAAATTTAAAGTCAGTTAATTAACATACAATGTATTCTTTGTTTCAGGGTGTACGCAAAACTTTAGGACAATTGCACAACGTTGACTTGTTGTTGCTTTGTAGTAAGATTTGAACTTTGGAAGTATGACCTTTCACCTTTGATTTTCTTTTTCAAGATTGTTTGGCTCTCTTGTGGTCCCTTGAAATTCCATATGACTGTTGGGATTAGCTTGTGCATTTCTTCCCAAAGGCCTTGGTGAATTTCCTTGGGAACACAGTGAATTTCCACATCGCTGTCTTATCAGTAGTATGTCTTTTCATCACCATGGGGTTCCT